AACACTCTCTTTCGCTCTTTCCCCCTTCCTCTCCTCCTTATTCCCTCTTTCTTTTCTTGCATTTCTTTCCGATCATACAAAATACATATAGCCATATATTTTCTGCCAAAAAAGTGGGGGGGCCCGGGCCCCCCCGGCCCCCCCGTACGCGCCGCCCCTGACCAGGAATCACGATAACCAACTCACTCTCTTTTCCTGACACATATATTATTATGACCGTATGAGAGTGACATGAGTGAAATCTGCAGACGTCTGTGGGAAAGATTAGGCAGTGATGTCCTGGGCATAACAGGGCAATTATGACACCACTAAGCAAATAAATAAAACTATAGCATATCTCTAAGCAAACCCCTACCTGCTGCATTACACCCCCTAAAAACCCTCTATATATAACTATATAGAACCTATAATATTACTTGCTTACTATATCCCGTTTGTCTCGCAATGGGTGGTCCACAAGATAATGACGATTAAATATTTTATATTGACGATAAATACGATTATCTTGTGGACCGCCCATTGCAAGACAAACGGGATATAGTAAGCAAGTTTCATTTCCGCAATGGATAATATTTTTAACCTTATAATATTACTATCTATCTTTTACATGCTGAACACTTACGTTCCGCTGTTAAACTTGCTGAAGATTGCCGTCCATTCCTTCCCAGTGTTGGCGAGTCTAGTCGCGACTAGGACTCTCATCCACTCCAGCACCTGTCTCTGTGGTTTCACCTGTGGCCACAGGCCTGCATTGCTGTTCCCAATGGTTGTCTCCATGGCCACCTGCAAGTAGAAAATACATGAAGATCCATGCCACTTTCACTTGTTCTCTCAGATTTTTAGAAAGCACATTAGGAGATATTAGTACAATTATCAAGTAGTTTTCGAGCCTGAATAAATAAAAGACGTACGAAAACGTGAAGTAAGTAAAAGATTTACACACGAAATGTTCCATCTACTTCAGATCCCTGCTATCTAATGTTTTAATTTGAAATCCCAATGTTCACCAGGCTAGAAGACAGCAGATAGAAATCGTCAATGGAGAAGATTGTTCCTGGATAGGATGACATAGACATAGTGTGGCCTGGCACAATATCAGAACCTGAAAAGAGATAATTTCAATGATCTAATTAATTTAATAATTAAAACAATAAGAATACCTAGAAAGTGAACGATACCATAAACCTATAGCAGAATATTTGCAATTGTTGTTCTAATAAATGTCACATTTTCCTATTAAATGGAATCAGGTAATGCATGTTTGTCGCTTTATTTTCTCATATCTTATTAGTTTGAAAACATAATAAATATTAAACATGAACATTGTGCACAATGTAGAGATTTGCTGTGATATTATACTATTACCCTTCTGAGGAAGACTGTGATATTGGAAGTTGTACTTCTTCAGAATGCGTAACATTGACTGGTATGTTGACCACGAGTCGTGTGCAAAGTATAGGTCCTTGTTGCCAGGCAACAGCTTGATGAGGGCGGAACACGAACCGGAGCCGAGAACCCGTTCGAACCGATTCAAAGTGACGTTGTTCTTGTTAAAGACCTGCTCCAGGTCTTCCAGATCTCCACTCAACTGGAACATGCTGCAAGGTGGTTGATAAAATGTTAGCATTTTTATCATTTTAGCACAGAGCAATCTTTCTATGGAGTTAAAAAAAATTCAATCAATTTCTAATGACAATTTAAAAAATCCCAATCTGATTTGATCTTACACATGTACCTATAGCAATATTGAAATGGTGCAATGAGCATTACACAGAACACACATACTTTAACAAGCAACTTACAGCATTCTGTTGGCAAAAGGAATATCATGGAATATTGTATTGTGTTCGATGTCGTTGTCCAGTAAGGTATGTTGGTAGTAGCCGTCACCTAGCTGTCTACTGAAGCCATCGTTCAAACCATTCAACTGAGCAATAATCAGCTGGATCTGAAAATAGATTAAAAATAATACGGTAACATTGCGTAAAACATCACAACATCGACTGCACCACATGCCCACAACACACACACAACGGCATATATATATAATTATATACGAAGGTGTTCTAAACAACCGGATCCGGTTTTGGTATCCTGAAAATAAACAACCGGGCTCTCTTCTTGATTGCCGCATAATTTTGTCACTATTTTCATTTATTATTCATTTATTTGCTAATTTTATTTTATTTTTAGATTTAGGATAGGGTTAGGCGTATAGGGTTAGGTTAGGGTTAGGGTTAGGTGTTTAGGCGTCTATAGCTCTAACTTTCAAGTTGGTTGCAGGTGGCTCAACTGTAGGGTGTTTCGCTTCTTGATAGTAAAGTAGCCGTTTCGAAACCCATAAGTGGATGTTTTTATTTTCCTCTGCTTTCTATTTCTTTGTATTTTATTTGTTTCTGGCATTTATTATTTGTTCCGTATTCATTTGTATTTGTTTCGCTGTAACTTTTGTTTATGTTAGGAATTTCAATATATATTCTTATGTTTTGACATTAAAAATTTACTAATATATTTGTCCTGTTATGTCGGAACACTGACCAATCAGAGAAAGAGAGCCGGTTGTTTAGTTTTCAGGCCTTCCGAACCGGAGTCCGAGTCGTTCTTAGCCACTACCATATAATATATACTATATATATATATATGTATAATCAGGCAGCCACAACAAACAACATGATTTGATGAGCTCTTGATACAAATGATATATGCTACACAAAATGGCACAGAAGATATATTCTTACATCATAACTATAAGAAGAAAAATGTAGAGACACCCGAGTGACCACGAAATGTATGTCAACACTATCTGAATCATTATATTTGCAAGCATTAACAACACATGTTAATGCTAAATCATTCTACAGCATACTTGGTGCCAATACGGATCCGTATCCGCTCGCTGTTGCAATCTGATTCTCCAGGCCAATCATTATATTATTTTCGATAAACTTCTGGAGTTTAGGTGCACATTTCTTGCCCTTCTTCGTGTGGTTAAGAAAGAATAATAAAACGAGAGTAATGATCTATTGACTCATCACTAGATGAGTTCGCCTAAATTAAATGGCAATTGCTATGCGGGGATGCCAGGTGTAATTAAACATGAATGGTCAGCGACAACTTGCACTCACCTTGCAGTAGCCATATGCACAGGTTTGATCCAGTGCAGGAATATAATGCCGTCCTTTGGTTATAGGTAGCCCTTGCGCCCAGTCCTGCCTGCATATGCTTGCTGGGAGTCATCATGTTCTTGCGCTCGTATTTACCTGTAGGAACGCCCACCTGAAATAATATCACAGCTGGAAATGTACTAGAACTGATTTTGACTAGGCGACACTGCAAATATTGCGCAACAGTGGGGGCACATACTACTAGCACTAGCTGTGTTGGCACTATGATCTACAGCAGGAAAGCGGAATGCTAGCACCACGGCACGGACGCACACACATACATTTATTTACGCAAACTGTCAGAGAAACTAAGTGACATTCAAAAATGAAAATGCAAAATATAAAGCCTGGTCCTGGAGGTGGTGAGGGAAGGGAGAATAGCCGAGGAAAACAGGGGAGGGAGGTGGGAAGGGAGGGGGAGGGAGGCGGGAGGAAAGGCGCGAGGGTAGGACGGGATGGAAGAACAACCCGCCTGTACACCCCTGCACGTACGTACGCCACGCGCCGCGATAGGCTCTAAGTACCTAGTAGTATCTAGAGTAGAGTAGCTAGATGCCTACCGAACGCACACACGCAAGTCTAAAAGTAAGGGGGAGTGTACGGCGACTGTCAAGCGCAACAACTACTAGCGATTGCAGCGATGCAGACAGACGCAACGTCCACCACCAGGGGCGCAAATCCAGGTGGGGACAGGGGGGGACCATGTCGCCCCCGAACGAAATTTTCAGCAGGGCACATGCATTATCAAATGTTCCCCCACGATTATTACATGATTTCTGTGTCAATGCATATCCCTGTGTTGTGTAGTGTGTGTGTGATGTGTGTGTGTGTGTGATGTGAGGTGTGTGTGGTGTGTGTGTGTGTTGTGTGTTTGTGAAGTGAGAACTTTTTATTTGTGTGTGATAGTGGCAGTCAACGATTGTTGCTTCTTTCCTTTTTACTTTTTTTTGCCAGGCTCTTTTATTTCATTCAAGAGTGCATTTGAGAACATAAATCAATGATGCATGCACAACTTAGAAGAAAATGTGTCTATGATAAATTCTAGTACGTTTCTTTTCTATAACAGCGTTTTTTTTTGTTATATTAAAGTAATTCTTATGCACATGAAATCATAAAAGAAAGTATGTTTATGAAGTTAGGTAGCATTCACTCACATTAGACAGTGCACACTGATTCAAAGGATTAGCTGGAACACGAGCTATATTTTCACGCAAAGAGGAACACTGTGTAACTGAGGGCATCGGTTTTAATAATGTAATTTTCATTGTAATTTGATGATATATTATAATACAGGGCTGCCAACATTGGGTGATAGGTGAGAGTGAGATCGCGAGGGAGCAAAGCGACGCGAGGGGGGGGGGAAGGGGGGTTTCCCCCCTCCACGGTAGGAGCTTTTGCATTTTTATAACTTCAATTTGTGCAATTTGGTGCATAGTAAAGTGACTGTTTTCAGATATTGTAAGATTTTTTTTGCTGTGCGTGAAATATTTCAGCATTTTATTCATGAAGAGATATTCATGCGTTAGATATCTCAGCATTTTTTTTGCTGTGCGTGAGATATTGTAAGATCAGCGTGAGAGCGTGAGATTTGGGTAAAATGCGTGAGTCTCACGGTCAATGGTGATGGAGTTGGTAGCCCTGTATATACACGATATATGTATTATGATATGACTGGACCAACAATAATACGGACCAATTTATTTTGTGATCAGCCTCAACACCAAATATATGGTTTCTGCTTTTTTGTTTTCTTGATTTTATGACTGCCATGTGGACACTTTTCGTAACCTTATCACAAACCAAATGCATGTGTGTGTGTTGTGTGTGTGTGTGTGTGTGTGTGTGTGCGAGGGGCGTGTACAGGGAGGGGGGGGTCCAGGGGATCCCCCTGCTCCAGTGCTCGCGCAGAAAACGCATCTGAGGGGGTCTAATTTCAAAAAATTTCTGGGGGAGGATTTTTCCCCAGACCCCCCCTTCGCGTGCTCGCCACTAATGTCCCCCCCCCCATTTCAAAATGGATTTGCGCGCCTGTCCACCACTACATGTCGCAAGTCCGTGCTCGTTTGCTAGCCTAGAGTAGAGTAGTGCTCATGTGACGAGGCGCCTTTATAAGCGACAACAAATACAACTTACAAAGCGACGATGAATAGGCACTTACCCAACATCGTCTATCGAGTCATTAAAGTGAGCAAAAGCAACATAATCCTCGCCTTTAGTGGTATTTAGAAAGAACTCCCCCGTCTCCTTGTCGACCGACACATAAACTACTGTAGCTAAATTCCATGGAAAGGCACAACATAAAGCAATGAAGAGAATTGCGAACTTGTAGTTGTAGTTACACATATTGTTGGAATAACATTGACAAATGTGTTTACCTTTGATAATACTCAAGAGATGGCACTGGCATCGGGTAGCCAAATCAAATGGGATCTGATGTTAGACAGGCAGTTTAGAGCCATATCATTGACTTTATATATAATACATACCTATATTATATCATTTATCTGTTATTTTATTATTCACAACTCAATTTAAATAAAATGGTTATTTAATATGTTATATTATTACTAGTTTTCTTACTACCCACAAGCGAGAGCTGCAATCCCAGCATTCCCGTCGTCTCCGACATGTTAGCTTTCAAACAGAAGGAGAATGAAAAAATTGACATATCTTTACTATTCTGAAATTAAACAATAATGAAGTTAGCATACCGTTAGGTTCGGCCAAGACCCGTAATTTCTCAAGTTTATGTGAGGTTTCGTGGACAATTGATGCATTTGTAGTGGAGTATAGTCGAGGTCTTGTCAGCGCGGGAACAAAATATTTCGTTTCCAGCACCACCAGAAAACAGATTGTTACTGTTACTAGTGTTAGCAGAAACCTGTCTGTACGTTATGGACGATTAGTCTAAGAGCTGACGAATCACACTTCGTGATAGAACAAGATTAGATCACCTGTAATCAGTGGTCTTCACATATTGAAATGGCTTCAGCTGTCTATGATTTGGATGCCAAAGGAGGGCTCATGGAGGTGATTTTCAATATATTTTGTGTGTTCGATTACATATTATCAGGAGTTAATAAAGACAAAGGAGTTTGACACGTATTTGGTACTGATTTTACTACATTTTGTCGTACGAGTTCGATGTGAATAAAAATACAAATGTATACAAACATGAGCTTCTTTTGTTCACTGGTCCTTATTCTATCTTCCGGTAGTATTACAAACCGCGTAGCTTCCTTCATTTTGACATAAATCGTACTTTTGCACGACATGGTTTTTACGCTATTTACCATCGTGTGACGAGGCCAAGCGGTAAATTTGCATACAGCAACTGGAAGGAGGCGCGGCAGGGCTTTTAGGCCGTAGTCTAACCGAGTGCAGAAAATGCGCTTGGAAATTAAGTTACGTTGCAATCATGCTGGGTTTAAAAATTAAAACTATTTTACATTGAAACTATAGTTAGAATGCCTTGTTTTTATGGTTGAATCCCGCAGTTTCCTTAAATAAACGCTGCGCTGGTAAAATATCTGAACTACTTCACCCGCGGAGGAATGATGTGTATGAATCTTAGCGAGTAAATTGACGCTCCAGCTGATTGTAGCTTTTTGCACGTGTTTTGCATAGCAACCGTTACTATGCAATTGCAGGCAAACGAATGTGTTTTAGACTGTTTACACCTTACTTATCATGACCAGCTGTATGTGATAAAGGCGAGAGTTAACGTCGTCATCACTCGGCTTTGTTAGCCGAACAAAAACTTCTTCGGGAGATAACTTACGGGAGACGCGATCCCTGTCGCACCTCCTTCCAGTTGCTATGTATGCGAATTTACCGCTTGGCTACGCCACACGACGGTAAATAACATGAAAACCATTTCGTGCAAAAGTACGATTTATGTCAAAACGAAAGAAGCTACGCGGTTTGTAATACTAGCGGAAGATAGAATAAGGACCAGTGAACAAAAGAAGCTCATGTTTGTATACATTTGTATTTTTATTCAAATCGAACTCGTACGACAAAATGTAGTGAAATCGGTACCAAACTCCTTTGTCTTTATTAACTTCTGATATTATGACATGTATTAACTATTAGTATTATACGTTTGTGAAATTGTGCCAGAAAACTAATTACTTGGTATCCAACAACCAGCTTTATTAGACAAATTCTGTAATTGCATCAAGTAACTATATAACTTTGAAGTTACTTAAATTTCAGTAACTTAAATAAAACAAGATTTACTTTTGCATGTTGCTTGCTTGTTGTTAACTTGTTAGTTAATTGCTGTTACATCTGCTAGCACATTGACGAAACCGAATGGGATCTATTTTAGCAAATCCAGGCCATGGTGGCTCCACCTATGAGTGAAGAAGCACAAAAGAAAATGAAAAGGCAGGAGCGGTCTCATCGACCAAGATACCGACCAGGACGTGCAGTCAACAGAGATTGTTGCGACAGCTGTAAGGAGGGAGGTGACCTGATATGCTGTGATAGATGTCCTGCCTCATTTCATCTACAGTGCCAGTAAGTTTTCATGCTGCTATGATTAGTGATGTCCCGATGATCGATTATAATCGAAAATCGATCGATTATAGTCTCAAATTCGATAATCGATTATGAAAACAAATAATTGATTATCGAAAATACTAAAACAAACAAACAAGGAACTGTACTCACGATGTGGGAATTGATATGACAAGTAGAGCACAAGTCTTGTCAGTCCTTGTGTTTTAAGATAACACAATACAGGCTAACCAGACGAACACGTCTACTCGACGAAGTACAAGTAGTTATCCTCCGCATGCAGTGCCGCGGAGGAAATTGTTTTCGTGGCCGTTTCGGTTTCGTGTATGTGACGGTGTGTATGTCTGTGTGTCTGTCCTCTCGATATCTTTGCAACCGTAAGAGGTAGAAACTTCAAACTTGGTCCACAGTTGCATCTTATGAGGCGAGAGAACCCTATTGATTCTGAGCCATTTCCATCCAAGGTCAAGGTCGCAGGGTCATTAACTATATTTCGAACACTGATACGTACGTATGCAGAGCTGCGTGTGTTGTGATATCGATTTATTCCACCGCGCGCGCTACAATGCACTGGACCAATGACGAATGCTAACCGTTCCACGAACACAAACAGAAACTAGAACAGAAACGACACGCATTCGCTTTATATGCAGAAGACTCGAATTATATTTTTATGCGCAAAGTTCTCTCGCATACGAGACCCAAACTACCGTATAGCACGCATACATCGCATCACACCATATTGCCCCCGAACCCCCCTAATTTGGCAAGCCAAGGTGTGTGATTTTTCACTCGCCTGCCTTTTCTAAAACACAAGGACTGCTTGATCATGTTTGTTTAAAACTTTTAATGTTTTAATAACGGCATTTAAACCATTTCTTTTTAAATTGATTAAATACTGTATAGGAACAGACATTGATATACATACATCAACCTTCACAGAGTTAATACATGATCATAAAACATGATAATATTGAATGCTATGTATAATTGTATATACAAAGTAAGATTAAATTAAATTATGCTATTATTAACCGATTATCGATCGGTTAAGGGAAACCGATAATCGATTATGAAATTCCAGCCGATTCCCATCACTAGCTATGATGCTATTAATATGAAAACATTACCAAAGATGTGCAGATTTAGACACGTAATCCTTCATCGTTCGTTGCTTTAGTTCAGTTATTGAAAGTAGTCTAAGTTGAGTAGTTTTTCACAAGGTTCATTTAGGATACTTAACAGGGAGATGTACTAGTACCCATGCCATATTTGAATATCTACAGTGATCCACCACTTGAGGAGGAGGATTTACCTTTAGGCGAGTGGTTGTGCTATCGTTGTAAAGTCACTCCAGTCGTGGTAAGCATTGAAATTGTTTTCTCTTTATCAGAATGTAAAATACAATGTGGTTAACAAGTTAAAGTGCTTTATTATCTATCTGTAGGTTGCATCAGTGGTTAGTGTTTGAGATCGATAAGTTGGTGATGTGTGAATGAGCTAGGATGCTAGATGTAGTTTGAATGAGTGGTCTGATATGTGGTAGAGCATTAACAAATGGCAATGTGAATGCATCAGTTGGGATTGTTCATTTTCGATTTTCTAAATTTCTTGAAACGTTTGCACAGGTTGAAGACGATACTCTATCAACATGCAGCACAACCAGTAGAAGCAGCACGAAGACAAAGTCAAAGGACAAAAATGGGAACAACCCTGCATTAGAATTGGATCTTTCCAATAGTATGGACAAGGTCAAGTCAAAAGTAAGTAGTTATATAAGTAAGTATTAAAGTAAAAAGTAATAAAGTATATAGTATAAGTAGTATATATAGTATTATAGTATAAAGTAATTATTAAAATCCAGAAGGCAGCTGCCTCAATCAAAAGTAATAAAAAATAAACAATTTTTAGTAATTTGTAATAATTTTTAGTATATTTGACATCAATGCGTATTAGCATCATATTTGATAATCAGTGTAAGACACTCGTATACGCACGTCTGTGTAAACCCGCTGATTTTCGGGGTCACGCAATCTGCAGGTAATGCACAGGCACCAGGAGAAAATGATGGACAGGTTGTCGGACGCGAGAGATAAGGCGGGCGACAACAAATGTGAATCTCACGCCACTGAGAGGAAACCACCGAAGGTGAGACCATGTAGCGATTGCTCCTAATGACGTTGTCGTCGTTAGTGTCGCCGTCATGTGAGCGTGTCCGTTGTTCTTCACCTGGTCAGTTGTGCACGAATCACTCGGTTCGTTTGGTCGTCGGGTGTTGCAGGAACGCGCGTCGGAACGAATAGCGCAGATGCAGCTAGAGAAGTGCTTGCAGGAGAAGGCTGCAGCACAGGAGCCGCCCGAAGAGGAGGAGGAGGACGACTCGCCGCTAGGCATGCTGATCCGTGCTGCTAAGCTTCGAAATCCGAGACAGTTTGATCTGCCTGGCCACCTGACGTGCACAGCTTCCATACCGGGTGAGGATGCCTGCGATTACGAATGCACAAGCACCGGGAATCGTAGCGATGAAATCAGTGTGTGTCGTGCGTGTGTTGTGCTGTTCTCTGCTTCGGCGATGTTTATGATGATTATCAATCGTGTTTAGGTACGTACAAGCCGAGAATGAGCTGTAGCAATGGTCGGCTAAAGAAACTGCCACACGAGTTTGACAATAATGGACTTGTGCCTCTTCCTGCCAAAGTCTGTTTTATGTGCAACAAGTAAGTATTAACCCTTCTTGTATTTGTAAGCCTCATACAACGTACTCCTGCAACCTACAGATATGTGCTCCACAATTATGAATGTGGCGCTCAATAGAATGACATCGTATTACGCGTAGACGCTTAGTTGCACACTGATGGTTGATCCACATGGTTGCTTTCTGTGCAGGAGCTGCCGAGTGGGTGCCTTACTGCAGTGTGACTACTGCCCGCTGCTGTTTCACCTCGACTGCCTCGACCCTCCACTACCCTGCATGCCGACCGGTCGATGGATGTGCCCGAACCATGCAGAGCACGCCGTCGTGAGTGTCCAATCTTTTCTCGCGAACACAAGGAACAACTCGCTGCTGTCGTAGTGTCTCGTCGTGTAACAGCCGATTGTGCTGATAAGAATGTGCGACTGAGGGCGCGCGTTGTCCGTCACACCGATTGTCACTGTGCTGATAAGAATGTGCGACTGAGGGCGCGCGTTGTCCGTCACACCGGTTGTCACTGTGCTGATAAGAATGTGCGACTGAGGGTGCACATTGTCTGTTACACTGATCGTGACAGTAGTCGGCGGCTCTCTTACGTAGGATGAGCACGTCTTATGGAGCTGCAGCCTCACGGAACGTGTCAAGTTGTGGAACAAGTACTGCGGACCGGTGAATCAGCACTCGATCAAGATCGACTTCCTGAAGAAAATACACCGGAAGCATCCGCCGTTCAGGTACAAGGTGAAGCACAGTGGACGACCGGGAGTGAAGGTAATCTTGCAACATCGCTGAGGGTTAGGTCATATGTACAGTATGGGTATGTTTGTGTGTGCGTGCGTGCGTACGTAGGTACATACGTATGTATAATTTCCAATCAAAATCGCAATTTCTTGTAGACGTCTCTGTGGGTAAAGATCATATACGGTCAGCAGGGTTCGACACTAACGCTAGTCCGTTAGTTCGAGACTAGTAAAAAATAAGAAGGACTAGTAAATGCCCCATAGCCGTTAGTCCTGCGAACTAGTTATTTTCCCCGTCCTTCACCGTCCCAATTTCCCATCCTATCGATTTTACTATAGTCTCCGGCGGCAGCTTCTCTCAACCAAGATCCAAGAGATCAATATAACTCATTGCCATCAACAAGTTTTCTCTGTTAGATGCGCTAGTAGACGCTAGCACGCTCTGCACGCTCTAAGCACGCTAGACCCTATGACAGTACAAACATTGTTAAACAATGGGGCCACGAACCAGTCTACCGATCGATCGTTTGACAGTAGCTGTTGACATAGAACAAACGGTCTGATTGTATAAATGACACAACTAATCAGTTATACGCTCTCATAGAGAGGTATTTACATCGCAACCACATTGCATGCATGTTTTACTTGAACAGTTGAAGCAGTCGATACAAATAGTTATCTATAGTAGTGATACAAGTAGTGAAGCAAAGTAGTAGGTACATCCTTATCCAATACTAACATCAAGGTTGGTATGTGGAAGTATTTGGACGGAGCTCATCCTCCAAATGTAAGTCGCAGGAGGAGAAATTAGATGGCCAGCGCGTCTATGATAAGAACAAAAGGATGCGTACGTTCCAGCCAGCGTGGAAATCGTCATACCCGTGGCTAGAGTATGACCCGTCCAAGGGTATGACCTGTGGTGCAGGCTGTATGTCTGGTAGTTTTTTCACCGGCACTATACAAACTATCGTTTGGAAACTGTTAACGTGCATGATGCTTCCGAGAGGCACAGAAAGATCATAGCAAAAAGAAATGCAAGAACCATGCCTGTTCACGAAACAGTGGGGGCAAAAACACTAACTTTAATGAACAAGGCCACAAGTGCAAAACTGAATATCCTAATTAGCAACTGCTGACAGCTCTGATAATGATGATTACGCTAGCTACAGAGATGTAACCGTCTTTCAAGAGAAGGCCTATGAAATGTTAATAAACCAAATTATATAAATATTTAAAAAAATCATCATGATCACTTCATTTGTTTTCTTATGATCCATATCAAAGTTACGTATATTTTATACAATTGAATGTCTTTTACAAAATCTTTCTGGGGGAGACCCCTTGTACCCTGGGGGAGACCCCCTGTACCCCCTAGCAGAAGGAGGGCTCCACCCTCCTACCCTACCTACCTCCCGGCAAATCACAATGCTCGTCGCTTTGCGCCTAGTAAGAGTTCTTCGGCAGGACTAGTAGAATCTTGGAAGGACTAGTACATTTTTTCTTTTACTAGGCCTGTGGACTAATGAACTAAAATGGTTAGTATCTAACCCTGTTCAGTTGTTCTACAACAGTTCTGCTTGGTTAACATTATTACATTTCTGTGTAATGCACTGTTACTTGTGCATGAATAGAATAACCATTCTTCAGTACATGTATTTGTATTTGAATTACATTTAAGCATAATGCATTTATGCAATAAAGATTTAATAATAATAATCATAAATTTTATTCGATGTTAGGTGCCCCAGTCTATCAAGGATCACTATCACACGCCGCCTCCATCACTGCCACGAGCTATGCACAACATGGACACGTCTCCCCTGCAGGTGCCCGCCTGCAGTACAGACGATCTCTCAGCACGACTCTCGTTAGAAGAGCAAGAGCAGGTAACGTCAGTCTGTGTATCGTTACATTAAAAGGTGCATGTATGTGTTATTGACGTACTCACGTACGTTAATAACATACGTGTGTAAATGTGCGAAAATGAAGACCAATGCACGCGCACGCACACACGTAATTTGGTGATCGTGTGCGGTTTCCATTTTTGCTCGTGAATTAAGCGTCGGTCCTCGTATGTTTCAGTGGCTATCCAGTGTCGTTTACCTGCAGAGCAGTATAGCGCACTACCTAGCTCAGAAGCAACTCTCAAGGTGCGAAGCGAAGCCGGTAGCTTCATGCGCCGTCGCTCCCCCGTCGTCGCCCTGCGACCAGCAGAAGTCGAACGGCGGCGAGCCGGTGTTGGTGAACGGCACTCTACCGCCGGACGCGTCGTCGTCGTCGCCACCGGGAGCGCCACCGAAGCTGCGGCCTGCTTCCGTCTCGCTGCTGCCAAACAGCGACGGCAGCACCGGCGACCGGACGCGAGTCGAAGCGGGCGGCGCGGCGGCGGCAAACATTCCAGGCAAGCAGGTGCCAATGGTAGCGAACAGCGCAGTGCCGCCCACGTTGAAAACACCGACCCAACCGAACGTAAGTGGTGGGAGTAGGTGCAGGGGCCTCTGTTTACGGCGTGTGAGTGCAGGGTGCAGTGGGTTCGAGTGAATTGTGATGTGTGATTTGTAGAGGGGAGTACCTTTAAAAAGCAACTAGTGACTCAAGTTTTTGCCCGATGCAGGGGGTGTGCTGGGTGGGTTGCGTGGAGGCAGGCGGGGCATCTCAGGGATTGAATTTTACGACGGCAACTGACGGCATTTGCCGCCAGAACATATTGATTTGCCGTCAGAGGTAGTCTGTATCGGCGGCAAGTAAATGCCGTTCTAAATGCCGTCAGATGTATAATTTACGCAGAGGCTACGGGTACGGGTACGGCAGCCGTATCTTAATGTCTCGAGGCTACGGGTACGGCAGTCACCCTACGCATGCGCTGCAGCCGTATCTTAATGTATCGAGGCTACGGGTACGGCAGTCCCACACACAAGTGCAAACAGTCACCCTAACCCTAACACTAACACTAACCCAACCATAACCCTAACACTAACTCTAAACCGACTCGGCTATCTTATATATGCGTGTCATAGTACCCAATTAATCTATGGTGTATAACCTTTTGCTTTTAATATTTTGCATCTGAACTGACAATCAATCCCAACCAACTGGTGTAGGCTAGCTGGCACAATAATGTTCATTTTCATACTTCAAATCCGAGTGTTTTCTAGCTCATCAAGAAATCTTAATCGTGAATTAAATCGTGAATTAATTTCCAACGGCATTATTTTGTGGGAAAGCGACGCATGCGCAAATGGACTGCCGTACCCGTAGCCTCGAGACATTAAGATACGGCTGCCATACCTCCAGCCACTGTGTATAATTTAACACAAACAACGACGGCAAGTGCCATTGCAACGTATCGTTGTTGGATTCTTTGTGAAATAAATTCATTCTTATATTTTCCTTCGACGTTCTTGTTCTTATTTCGGATTTCCCTCAGATATGAGGAACCATAGAACCGTATGGTGCTGCCACCGCCGCTGTTGTCACTGTATGGTGCTGCCACCACCGCTGATTTTATTCAGTGCAGAGTTTGTGTTTACAGATCGCTTAGCAACGTGATTCACAGATCATTTCATGCATTTTCTTGTTGCTTTGTGAACTTTCTTCTGTTTATTCTCGTTGTAAACATTAAATATATGCACAAAAAAATAATTGTATATATGTTAATCAATATCATTATCTTTTAGCCGTATAACTTATGATTTTTAGCTCAGCTGACGTAGTCAGATGCAGCTTATAGAATCGCATGATTGTCTGTGCGTGCGTGCGTGCGTCCGTCCGTCAACAGTTGGGCACAAATCTTAACCGCTCGACGTACGGTCACGATATTCGGGACGTGGCGGGGTAATCCGAAACGAGTTGGATGTCGAAGCTGGGGGTCAAGGGTCAATAGGTGTAAAGAAGGGGAACATTCCTCCTTAACTTAAGGTATAGGGAGGAAATGCAGAATTGCGGCAAAATCTAAACGGCTCGACCTAGGCTCGTGATAGTCGGTGTATAGCATCATGGTAGGAAAAGCCATCACTGTGGCCGAAATTGGAGGTCAACAGGGCAGATTTTTAGACATTTTCTGAGGACATGGTCTGACGGAGCGATTGAAAAACTTTTTGTTTCAGCGGTGACCTACCATTTTTATGGCTTTATTGAAAGGACCATGAAATGTACTTTCCGTTGACATGCGAAGAGTAAGTGTCGGATAACTTTTTGACCCTCAAGGAGGAGGTTTTAAAAACATGGATTTGTTGACCTGTTAACAAAAGGACTGAAATGCTTTTGCTATTAGAGCCCCCCCCCTCCCCTCCCCTCACCCCCGCCACGACACACACTACGCTCGCGCTCGACGCATATCCTGATGACATGTGAATAAAGCGAAGTCATTAAAGTTACACAGCTGTATCTTTATTACTTTACTACCAGTAGGTATACAGAAAGCCTATCATAGATTTTAAGATCTGTATTTGTAGTATCCTAGATATTTGCTTTGAGCGCGAACGCGGTGGCAGGAGGGCGCACTTGATTCGTTTGCCAGTGAGAAGAATACATGGCTACAGTACACGTCAGTTGAGTGCTGTCGCTCTGCGGCACTTGTTCACAGAAAACCGGCGCGTTCGGTTTTCTAGACTTGCTGTCAGAATGTTGCTACTTGCTGTCAGAGGGCACAGCCTCTGACAGCAAGTAGCAGCCTTACTTGCTGTCAGAGGCAAATTGCAAAATTCGATGCCTGCATCTGGTTTCGGTGACTTTCCATAACGTAGTGATCGGAAGTAATTTCCGCTCCGTGCCATTAAATGCATAGTTCTTGTCACGATGGAACGTTTCCGTTCTCAGCAGATTCAGGGCGTGGCTACACGGCTATTGCCTTCTGCCACACCCAAGGTGAGTGCTGGGTCGTCTGCGTCTGTGCTGAGTAGCACCAGGGTAGCGACCGTAGCCCCACAGGCGCAGCCAGGGAGGTTACAGACGCGCGTGCAGACCACACTGCCCTCTGGTACGAGGGTTGTCACGGTGACCACGCCTGGGCAAGGTGGGTACGCACTCGTCGTTACGTTTACGCTCGTGTGTATTTAAAAACGACCCCCGGAAGAATCGTTATTTATGGTAGCCAGGATTTTGGGGGTTAGATATGTAGAGAATACATATGGATTGCTAATCTTTTCTTGTAATTGAGAATCTTATTTTCTTTAAATTGTATTTGTTTGCAATTGGTCATCTTTATCTGGTAGCCAGTGTATGCATTCCATCTGTATTTAATTCACGTTTCGTCTAACGGTTCATTGAGCAGAAATTTCAAGGTTGATAATAAATATTGCTTTAGAGCAGGGGTTCTTAACCTGTGGTCCATGAACCCCTTTAGGGTCCGTGGATGAGCTTCAGGGGGTCCGTGAACCAGGCCCATACAAATTTTGTGTTTATGTGCTTATGTGCATTTTTCGGGGGAGGGGTCTGTAGCTTTGACCAGATTCTCAAAGGGGTCCATGACTCAAAAAAGGTTAAGAAACACTGCTTTAGAGTGTGCTCTACGTGTTCCACACACATGTAGCTTTAATTTTCTTCATTTCTCATTCAAATCTCATTTCAGGCAAGATCAACTTGTCGGGTTCCAGCATGCCTCAGAAGATGAACATAGCCGGAGCTCTGAGCTCGTCGCCTGCGATACTCAACCTAAACAAGCAGCTGCAGGCGTCGATAGAAGGCATCGGCGGTGAGGAAATAAAAGCAGACTGCTGCTGCTCATTGTTCTTAACATAGGCGTTCATCTTTGCACGTGTGGTTGCCTGTGGTTGTGAATTGAAGGATATATATATAGTTACTGAGGAAACGAGTATACAGCATATGAGCATAGCATACAGCTCATTGTCCTAGCGTAGTATTAGATTACTGAACGCGTATTTATCTATGTATGTACGTTTAAGGTCATAGTTCGTGAGAGTAAACAAGCATAAAATACTGCTGATTGTGCTTATACAGCAGTTTGATTCATCTTGACAGTTGTATCTATCTGTGTCTGTGAGTTGAAGTGCATAGGTGGTGAGCAAGCAAGCACCAAATAGTGCTCATGTTTATGTAGCAGACTGGTTTACCTTATACGGCTTCATATTTGGAATAGGCAGCTTGGGTTAGGACTACAGGGTGTGTTTTCACTCGATCACCTGCCCGGGTTTTCTCCAATAAGAAAATTTGCTCCATGGTAGCGAATCTAGCGATGAACCAGTCCTTGCCTATGACATGTATGATTTGAAACCACTGACGCGTGTGTGCTAGTTGCTCTTGTCGTTTTGCAGACGTGGAGCTTGGTCGGCTGGACGAGAGGCTGGTACAGATCCTCGCCTGGCAGCGTCTGCAGCAGCTGCTGCCTCAGAAGTCTGCGCCGAAGAATGGAGCCACCACGGCATCTCTAGGTATGTGGGGTCCCCGTACTGCCGCAGCGTATACTACATCACCTCGTGGTGGGAACAGACATGTCAAATGTCAAATTCGATGGAATAGAGAACGAATGTGCATATCAGAATAGTTTGTAGTGGTATAGAATATCATTCATTATATTATTATTATTATTGTATCCCCCGAACGAAGTTCGTGGGGATACTATGGGTTTGGCGTCGTCGAGCCGCCGCCACCGCCGCCGCAGAGATTTCCTTGTGAACGCTCTACCGGCTGTAGTTCTTCTCGGATCATCTTCAAATTTCACATGAAGGTGCGTTATCGTACCGTGAAGACGCCAATCGTTTTTGGTGTGGGCGGAGTCATCGTTGCCATGGTAACAACATTTTTTGTCGAAATATTCTAGAACCTGTAACTTCTCCAGTTTTGACCCGATTGTCATGAAATTTATATTTGTATTAAAATTTATAATTAAATTTATATTAAAATTAAAATTTAAAAATTTAAAAATAAAATTTAAATTTAAAAAAATATTTTAATTTAATATTTGTATTAAAATTAAAATTTTAAAAATAAAATTTAAATTTAATATTTCTATTAAAATTTGTATTTAAATTTAGGATTGTCATCAAATATATATATATATATAGCACATGTTATATCGGCCCTGTGTCCCAAATTCCATGACAATCGGGTAAAAACAGCACAAGTTACAGGTTCTACAATATTTCCACAAAAATATTGTTACCATGGCAACGATGACTCCGCCCACACCAAAAACGATTGGCGTCTTCGCTTTACCATAACGCACCTTCATGCCAAATTTGAAGATGATCCGAGATCAGGTAAAAACTGCCCACCAGGTCACTGCGACCTTTATTTCACCTTTACCTTGACCTTGATCATATTTCCCTTCCGCTCTCTAACTCAGCCCCTAATTCACCTAGCGCGACCAAACTTGGTATGCTTACACATCTTGGGGAGAAGGTCTGCCGCATACCAAAACCACCACTGCCCTTGACCTTAGTTTGACCTTGACCGTCGACTTACATTTCTTCTTCGGATTCCTAGGGTAACCAGATTCCATATACTTGCACATAGTTGGCTAACAAACCTTTGTCTTTGTGACTTATTTAACTTTACCTGCCTTCTACGTCCTTACAGATATATTCCATTCATACTAGATCACGGGGGATACATGTAGTTTGGCGACAACTGCTCGTTTCTAGTTATTATTATTATTACATGTATTATATTTATTATAAGTTATATCTTAATATCATTTTGCATTTTTACGAAGCTAGCTGAGATTCGTGAAGCGATTAACGTCGATTACGTTGCTATAATCTCGTCTCTGATTATCTGGTTGTAACTACTTTTATCATGCGTGTTTCAGAGTCGTCCAAGGTGCAAGCACGTGCGATGGTGTGTCCCCTGACGGGGAAGGGACAGCCACACTCCATGGTATACCGAAGTCTCTCTATAGGCACAGGTAAGGTTAACTCATGTTTAATTTTTAAACATAAATAACATTTAAACATAATCAACTTTAGTACGAACTTAGTAGACTTTTATCCCCCCACTTTTTAGCTCACCCTGACATCGTCAAGATGAGCTATTGCCATGGGTCGTCGTCCGTCCGTCCTTCCGTCAACATGTGGCTATGGTCAACGATAACTCAGGAACCGTTTGACCCACATGTTTGAAATTGGGTATAGTTGTTACTGCTATGGGAGAGGTTTGAATGTCCTATTTTGGAGCACGCCAGTCGACGTACTTTCGAGCCACGGCAATTTTTTGGCAAAAATGGAAATTGCCATTAGTCAGTTCAGGTTCAACGGATTTTGCTCATTTTTGGTATGTGAATGAATAAAGGCTGGCCCCAAAACGTATTACAGGGGTTTTGATATTTAAAAAAAAATTATGCAAATTAGGTAGGTTTTGGCAATTATATAGCATATTATATAGACACGCAGGTAACAGTCTGTGGTGTCACACTCGTCTGGTTCGTGTTACAAGATTTCATTGACAATATCTTTAATGCAAAATTGGCATTTCCTCTCCACCCTGCCGATAAAACGTCTATATTAGAGTAAAGTTTTACAAAACATGTCGGAACGCAGCATAACCTATTAATTTTGAACGCCATCGCTAAGAAACATCAAAGCGGGTATAGCGCCATCTACCGTCTCAAATTGTGATTCATTTTGGTTTATAAATTATTATTGCGATATACAGATGGCAACCGTGTGCTACCGCCTAGAAAAACTCATACGAAGTAAACACTTCCGTGCAACCAATTAACCTTTGACAAAAGTTGTGTTATGGGCAGGGAAACACCATTGTCACGTGGTATATAGCAGCTACGTGGAATAAGCGTATCCTCTCAATCTTACACGTTACACATCGGGAGCTCCGCTTTTAGGCAGTGCTTAAATCTGAATATTATAAAAACGTTAAATGGCGATCATTTAGGTGTAACGCCATCACTCGCCCACATCTCAGACTTTCACATCTCAAACATTTATTTTCACATAAAAAATTACACATAATTATCAAGAGTATATAATGGGAGTTCTCCCATATATACTCTTCGTTTCTATAATGTACGTCGATGGTTGCTCAATTAAAACTGACTTCTTCTCACTCACTCATTTGTGTCCTTTTTTGTGGTGAGCTACAGTGTCATTGACACTTTCATTAAGTTCAGTTTTTCCGTATTTTTTTTGCAATTCTGGTGAGCTTTTTTACAGCTGATGGCAAGAACTTCAATGCATCAAACATTGATATTTTTATTGAAGCAATGATTATTGTAAGGTTGTTTGCTCTGAATGTGTTGAGCAAACAATGATAGGCAGGCAGCAACCAAGTCAAGCTGCTAGTGTGCGTGCCTGCGTTTCTGCGAACGTGCGTTTGAGTGCTGTGCATGCGTGCGTGTTGTTGAGGGTATTTTAATTGAATGGTTGCGCCTTTTTTTAATTGACAGGAGCTGATATGGACCTGTGCCTAACCAGTTACGGGCATTGCAATTTCATCTCAGCAAAACACGCCTGCATATTCTATGACGAGGTGAGGTTCGTCTTCGGATATCAGATATGGTTCATCATACCTACAATTATCCACTGATCTCGACAGTCACGATTATCGACGTCACCATGTATCATGTATCTGTGCGACATTAGTGCAATAAAATGAACTTGAATTAACGTAGCTGCTAATACGTTCGACAATTCTGTAATCTGGCATAATGCTACCGGCCTGTTGCAAAATGGCACAACATGCATCTGCCCGGGCGAGTTGTAGCTGCAGTCGCTGCAATCTGCGGCGAGAGGCCATTGTGAATGCTCTGTTTCATTGTCCTTTGTTCCTCCTACCCGTGTGCTGTAGCTACAACGTACTTGCGTATACTGCAAGAGCGCATAAATTAATATATGAAGAAAATGCAAAAAAAAACGCATTTGCTGCCCAAATTCGGTCGCGAGTTCTGCGGGGGCGGCTAAACAAGCAAGTGCCTCTTCTCGCATTCTAACGTCGCGAGTTTTGCAGGGGGCGGCTAAGCGAGTGTCTCTTCTCGCATTCTAACGTTTCCCGTTTGCTGATCCGACAGACGACCAAGCACTACGAGCTTCTCAACTACAGCGAGCACGGCACGACCGTCGACAACGTGCTCTACTCCTGCGACTTCTCTGAGAAACCGTACGTCGTCGCGGCGACGAGCAGCCTCGTGCAGGACGTGCGGCAGGCGATAAAGCGTGGGCAGCGGCGGAAACGCAAGCTGGTCGAGCAGGAGGAGGCGGGCAGGAAGGAGCAGGTGACGAAGAGACTGACGATGAGTGCCCCGAGCTCAGAGGTACGTATGTCTGTGCGACACTGCTGGTGGGGTAGAAATTACCTTTTCAACACGGGAGTCCAACGGACTCCCTGCCAACAAAATGAAGGAGTCCTTAGTCTGAAGTTCAAATTTAAAAGATTTGCTGAAAAAATACGGTAATTCCTCGAGGCCGTGCTCTGGAACGAACTAGTTAGTCTAGCAGAATTTTCAGGGAGTCACACGGACTTCTGCATATGTCAAATCAGGGAGTATTTGACTCCGGACTCGCGTTAATATCGCACCCTGCTGCTAGAGGGAAAGGGTGAGGTGTCTGTGAGAGTAGAATGCAACCGCGAAAAGACTTCCAGACACTGCTGGAAGAAAGCGTGAAGTGTGTGTAACTAAGAGTAGAATGCGACCAAGAAAAGCTTGTTGTATACAAAATATGCAAACATGTTAGTGGCGGAGTGAAGTCGTCGTTTACGCGTTGGCTTTTCCGATTTCTTGTGATTGCGCACGCGAATCTCGCGTGAACGTATCGAGGCGGGGCAAAACGTTGTTCTCATCCGGTGCTGTGCGTTTATAGATCCGGAAGCCGTGTTCGTGCAAGGGAAGCAGTTCCAGCTTGATAGGGGGAAGCGGTGCTGGCTGGGAGGGAACGGCACTGCTTCACCACGGCAGCTACATCAAGTGTGGGTGCCTCCAGTTCGTCTTCAGCATAACAGACTACGCCACCAAGGAGATGGGTGACCAGTAGCGCCATCTGTCTCTACTACGTCTACAGTCGGTCGGGAGTGCGCGTTCCGTACAGAGACGAGGACGCTTATACCCCGGCTGTGCTGCTTGTCGACAATCAATCAGTCGTTGCAACTCTTTTAGGGAAAGTGTTTTATACCAGAGATCATGTAGTAGACGTCAGTGATTGCCATCGTGTGTGGCGCCATCTACTGGACTGTGCACGCACTAGTGAAGCCACCACTCTGCAAGTCAGTGTCAGGGACTGAGTTATCAATGTAGATATTTTTTACTTCGTGGGTACACGACAAGTGCTATGTAAATGGCGTGTAAATTTTCCCTTCTCCGCCAACTGTAAATTGGACGTACGCTCCTGATTGTACATATTGCCGTCGGTCTCTCGTGTGTGGAGCGTGAAAATGCACAAGCATGTTTATTGACTTCCAGTGCGTGTACGCCATAGTTACCATATGTGCGAGGTCCTCATCACTATTGGCTGCGACATAGGCGAGCTATTTTTGAATGATGGAGGGGCTTGTGTTTTGTATTTTACTGTATAGCAGATTGGAAACTGGCAACAGTCTGCTTTCATTTCATCTATAAAAGATATTACATGGAATAAAAAAGAGGAAGTGGTTGGTACTGGTTTTTTGTCACCAGCTCCCAATCACTTAACTAAACCAAGCTTGTGGCAAGTGGTTTGCTCACAATTAATAGCGAAATCCTGTTTGATTGGACCAACTACCCTTATCCAGATATAGCTATTGTTAACTGGCATGCATGGGTGCATGTGACACCGTGGTTCTGTATAGTTTCTGTATTTATCGTCTGTAAAGGTTTGATGTATAGTGTTCAATATGGTATAGTGGAAAAACTTTATATCAAAATTATATCCACATAAAAATTCTCCCTAGAGTTAAGATGGCTTATAACATTCTTATGCAAGTGAAAACCAATATTTACGTGTTTGGTTATAGGAAAGCAATGGCCACTAAAATAATTGAGCCCCCTGGTGTTAAAGTAATTTACAACAGTGTCATTGATACATTGGACTGTCCTTTCCTCCTGTTACCCAAGTGTTACCAAATGCTTGGTATGTTTTCTGTCCACATATGCCTACTCAGTTGGGCAATATTGTAAAGTTTTTTTGACCATATTGAAAGAATATATTGTATTGAAATTTTTATTAAAAAATGTTAAATTGATTGAATAGAAAATGGGCTGTTAAAAGTTTGTCATTACAAGTAGGTTATAGTTAGATATTTTTACATTTTACATACTTGCTAAATCGATACCGCCAGTATATTATGGGGAAAAAACATGCTCACTGAATAAGTTGGCACTATTCCAGCCACCCACCTAAATTTACACTGATCAGACAACCAGTAATATCTTCCACCACTGCAGTGAAAACCAAGAATCGGATACATAACCAAGACAGATTTTTATTGAATATTTTTTACATGGTAAAATGATACGTTGGACGTTGACACCTGTTGCAGTATCTTACGAAACTTACCAGACGGGGGGCGATCGACCACACGTGGGTTGTCAACCAAGTCTCTCTCTCGCTCTCTCATTTCTCTCAAATTCTGATATAATCTGCAGCCAACGAAACACGCTAAAACGTTTCCTTGCTCTCAAGAGACCAAAGCAAGCAATCAACCAGATCGGGTCTAGACTGTCGAAGTCTGATGCCACTCTACCAGCCCAGATCGTTCAGTAATCTGAGTTGACAATGAGATTGTATTAAACGCTTGCTAATTTTACAACCAATCCGCCAAGTGCACAGTAACTTCATACTCCCAATAGTTGCACGGCAGCACCCGATCCTGCCTAACAGCCGCACGACAGCACAGCTTACTTCACATTCTCAACACAAGTATAACCAACAGTTGCGTGACTGATCTGCCTACTGCGGCCACCGATCGCAAGACACACCCAGCGTTCCTTCACTCGACAGTCTCGTGACGGCACAGTAGATAGGGATCAAATTCGTGAGCGAATCAGCATTCAACATTTCAGGAAAATCCCCAATGAGCAATTCAACTGCGGATCAAACGCGACAATTGACATTCAACGTGTCGCCTCCCGACAATTGACATTCAACGTGTCGCCTCCCGACAATTGACATTCAACGTGTCGCCTCCCGACAATTGACATTCAACGTGTCGCCTCCTTACATCACTTTTTGGAAAGCTTCACAACTTATCGAACACTGCGAGAAAGAGCTCCTGCTGCTCACAATACAAACGTGTGCATCCTGTAATCCCAGGGTTTCCTCGCCTACACACCACACCGCACGAATCCTGCTTATGTGGAACTGCAATAACAGATCGCCTACTCCGCGGATGGCGATATAATATGGTTGGTCATCCTCAATGCGTCATACTCTCCAGCATGCTGGCAGCTGATGCTTCTACTGGACCCCTTCCAAAATAATATCACCACCAGCACATCTACACAGAGACAATGTCTGAAAGTAAAGTATACGTACATTAAAGGACTACTGTATACAAACAAGACATCCAATGTGATCTTATATATGCCTGGCCTGTGGCATCACCTCTCTTCAACTTGCCATTTCCTGTAAAGCTGACGAGCTGTAAAAGCGACTGTACAATGCATTTACAGCAAACTAACACACCTACTGTTGTGAACGAGGGGATTCGTGGTGAGAGAGTCGGTTAGGAACATGGATACCACGACAGCTACTCCACACTGCTACCAGTAGCTTACTGTGACAGCCGTCTATCCATTCCAGAGTCCCTGTGAAGTTGCGCGGTGAAACTTTGACACCGCAAGATTGAGTCTTGCCTGCTGAGAGCTCAACGGATAGTTTGCCGTCAGGGCTAGGATACAGCAGAAGCATAACTCATTTGCAATAATAATAATAATAATAATAATACAACATTCAACTGCTCATTGAACAACATAAACACCGTCCATCGTGATTTCACTGCCAATGTTATCTCATATCTCTTAAATGTAAGAATCGTGCGGTAATGCAATCACACGAATTTCTGCGCCAACTATCGTCATGGCGATGATAACGGACGACGGCAGGCAGGGTTGGCATGCACGCTGGCCGATGTAGCCGCTGCTCTGCCTAACACCAATCCACCACCGCAGGTGACACAGCCACACATTACGACATGTAGCAGCCCACCTTGCGTGACCACGGTAGTGCCAGCACTGCAGTAGCAAGCACCATCCCGCCACGCCCGCAGCAACCGCCGAGTTACCGCCGCGCTCACCCTAGTCAGACCACGAACCTTCATCATACATGCGGGTGGGACCAGGATGGTAGACCCTTCGCACGACCTCACAGTAACGACTGGACGAACTCACTGAATTTTCACGAGCTTCTAATTGGGAGTCGATTGGATACAAAATAGCGCGCAAACAATGGTTTCAGTTTCTCTTAATTAATTTGTAAGGGATTTATTTCACTGCGGTGAAACACACCACCTCTCTGAAGCAAGTTTAACACGGACTACCTTGATCTGGACTACAACTAAATATACGGGATTCTTAACACAATTAAATGCAATAAAATATTTACAGACAAACTACACCAACAAGTAATGACGAGAATGGAGATTGGAGAAACCATCCCATTACAAACGTTGGTGGTTTTTTTATGCGATGCGATGCAATTTCATGATGCAATGCGATATACGGGGCTAGAAGGGATGCTTGTCCAGCTATTTACTTGTCTACTGCACAAGTTTCTGTCCCATGATTTCATGCAGCTTGACATTGAATCCATGTAGGATTTTCCACGCTTGACCCGTGCCATTAGAACTCCAGGTCACATAAAACTGGCACAGCAATTGCACCACGGAGGAGTATTTCAACCCCAACCAGGATGAGAAACTGGCCACTGCATTCGTCCCGCTAAAGCTGACATGCGCCACGATTAAACAGACAAACAGTTGGCCGTGTAGCCTTCCCTCCATACAGACATCAACGATAAGCCGGTATACCTACTTAATATGACGTGTGTCTACATCCTTTTTATACACACGTCGGTCAGAGTTCAGATACAGCGAACACAGAACAAATCGACAACGCTCGAGAATTTGTACGAATATCATACAGGTGCGGTACATAAATGTACAAAGCTAGCCATCCAAGCAGCACAGGGTACTTACTCTACGTCAACAGTGCAAGCGCTGTACAGATAAGCTACGGCTACTGCCTACGACATCAAACCGCATCGAAAATAGTATCGAACCTGGCATTTCCGCTTCGACCGTAGTGTTGTGAAACCCCCACCATCGCCGAGCAGGGCAGCCCGGCATCCTGTTATGGACTGCCTAACCTCCTGTTGCTCAAACTCACACCTATCCGAATAAAAGTTCCGGCTGCGTTCGGAACGTGCGTCAGACACGAGCGCCGAGACGGTAACGATCAGCAATCGTCCCGCTACGACACCAGCAGTGCTTGCCCTGTACCCTGTGAGCAATGTCAGCTGCTATCGTAGGTTCTTTACAACTATATTTATTATTATCATCCCCTACTCGAGGAAGGTAGCCACACGGGGTGGTTTATTTCTTTTTATTTTTCTCTTTTCCAGCTTGTTGGTTTCTTGGTGGTGTCACCGGTCGCCCTGCGTTGAGGCCTCCATACGGGAACTTCTTCTTATCTGCCGGCTTCAAGATCTGCGGAGGTCGAAAACATGAGCTGAGTGAGACGGGCAAACCTAGGTAGTTACCAAGAGCTTCCTAGTGAGGTGTACCAAGAGCTTATCTGTACAGTATATACAGCGTTGGACGACAAATAATAAATTCACCTAACCCAAGCTTTAATGTAACGTATGAGGGGAATAGAGTGCATAGGAGTATTTAAGATTGCACTGGCAATGCAAACACCACCTCTGAACAGACCAACCCTTATTTTTTACACAGCAAAACACCAATGCTATATCATGCAAAAGTGAATCATTTTTCAATGCTTGACAGAAACATTATCTAGAATTGCACTTCCCACACAGGTAATAAAATCCAACTAATTAATTCTACATTATGGGTTCGCAAAAGTAATAATATAAGAAAGTTGGGTGATTTGAGGCTAGGGTACACAAATTCATAAACTGCTCAAAGTAAATTTAAAATGTTCCACTGTGCATGACATCTGCTCGTAAAATGATTGTCTTTGACAACATGAACATCACCACAGGTTTTTAACCATCCACGAAAACTCTTGTAAAACATTTTCTGTAGATTGTTTACAAGTTTTTATGCTAAAAACCTTCAAGTATACGCATCGCGGCTAGCACATAAACTAGTCAAGATATTCAATAAGTATTTTAAGAACGAAAACTTTTGGCAAAGAAGATAGATGATAGACAGATAACATTTTGCCTGTGGCAACTTAAGCCACATGTCGAACAAGGGAAAACTGTGAGGTGTCGAACGTGCGTACCTGGAACGAGCACATGAGCGTGTCGTCCACCGTCATCATCGCACCGGCGTTGTCAAACTCCCCACAGTAGTTTGGTGCCGAGAAGAGCGTAACTAGCTGCCTCTTTGCGAAGAACTCGTAGCCATCTTCCACCACCTGTCAATGGCAGACGACAGATTACATTATATGACGCTGCCCAAGTGCAGGATGGAAACTTGTCTAAGAGTCACCGAATTTCTGTGTGCTACACAGCCATGCATCTCCCCATGGGAAAACTCCCCCCTCCCGTTTCAATCGTTGCGCCACGTTTAAATTACCTCCGCCTCGATTAAATTCCACCACAATAAAAGTGTGAACGCGCGGGTTTGTTACAGAGCATATTACAGTACACTGCATATCTTGCACTGTCATTATCATAACACCAGAATTAATAATCAATACAAAAATTTACTTACATTCTGCAAACAAAATTATTTTAATGTACACTTCCACACTGTCCCAAAAGATAACCTTGATATAATATAAGCAGGGGCGGATCCAGAGGGTTTGGGTGACCAGTTTCGATAGTTCTAGTCACAGCTAGGGGGGTCTGGGGGCATGCCCCCCGGGAATTTTTAAACAAGTGCCGCGGAGCGACAGCGCTCATCTAACGTCTACTGCGGTGACTCTGTGGTGGAGTGGTGGGATTCTAGTAAACCCTGTTAGTCCCAAATGTGTTCACATACACGCCGAAACAGTGGAATGCACAGGGATGGTATCAGGAATCTTCTCAAAGGAATGTTCGTTGGGATCGTTATGAAAGTTGCCACGAGATGGCGCGTACATTTAAGTGTCTTCAGATTAAAGATGGAAGCTCTCATCGTACGTAGTAGCAAGTAGGTAAATGGATGAGTGCTTACCTATTCTGTCTTGCAAATAGTTGGCAGCCTGTAGGCTTGCGCAGCTCTCTATTTTAATTGGTTACAGGTGTCGTATAATTTCTATGGCATTCTGTACTGCCAGTATGTTGCATGTAACGTATGCCACTGCCAGTGGCTACTGCCAGTGCATGTGTTGGTGATAGTACTGTGGAGTTTTTGCCTGCGTTTTAAGGAGCATAAACCTTCTTTAACCAAATTTAGCTTTTGAAATTTCACTGTGACATTGTAGCCTCATACATCCAGGCATGTATAGATTCTACTAGCAAACCCGGCAGTCAAATTCTTTCTAATAGTAAACATATCCATGTTTAACCCTCCTCTTGAGGGTCAAAAGGTTATCCGACACTTACTCTTCGCATGTCAGCAAAAAGTAGAATTTCATTTGGGTCCTTTCATAATGCATAAAAAATGCTAGCGCTCACCGCTGAACAAAAGATGTTTTTCAAATCGCTCCGTCAGACCATGTTCCTCAGAAAATGTCTATAAATCTGCCTCGTGCCATTGCCTTTTGACCTGTTGACTCAATTTCGGACAGTGAATGGCTTTTCCTCCTTTGGATGCTATTACACAACACTTCAGCGTAGCCTAGGTCGCAGCCTTTGTAGATTTGTGCGCAATTCTGTTTTCCTCCCTGTTACCTTAAGTTATAGAGTGAATGTTCCCCTTTCTTTTACACCTCTTGTACCTTTTTGCCTTTGTACCCCACCCTTCGACATCCAGAATCGTTTTGACCGATCCCCCCCCCCAATGTGCCGAATATCGTGACGCGTACGTCGTCAGCGGGTTAAGATTTGTTCTTGCCCCAACTGTTGCGGACGCCACGGACGACGGACGAGCGAGCGGAGGACGGCTACGGACTGGACGATCAAGCGATTCTACAAGCTGCCATCTGACTATTTGTTCAGATGAGCTAAAAATTAGGCTTATTTGGTGCCATTCTGGTGAATTTTGAGGCACGTCATTCTGAGATACCCAGCCTGCTGACCGGTTCTGGCAACCGGTGCAAATTCCGACCTAAATCCGCGCGCTGATAGATGTTCATTTGTCCAAGGCAGTTTCAAATTCACTGCAGTACAACACGCTGCTGCCTTGCCAGCTTACGATCGCACTTTCCCGACATGAACGTCGTTCAACCGCTCCGTATCTTCTAGTTTTCTTCCTGATTTTGGACACTCAGATGTGACAGATTTTTCTAACCAGCCCAGCCGAACTTGTTCCATTCACTCTTTGTCGATCTCTTGTATTGGTTAGATGTTGTCGCCTTCTCAATTAATCTCACCATATTTTAGTGGTTCAAATGCATGAAACAACACTGCCTCGAAATGATTCCGTTTCGATTTATTTTGCCACTCAAGCCGTGGTATACAATGGCCTTCATCATTTTTCAATACGCCTCCACGCTACTTACACTGAGACAGGACGTGTTGTCTTAAGACGCATTGTCTGAGTTCGCCTGTATACAAGTGTAGTATACCACATCACATTTATGCTGGGCGCTCTTCGCACATATGTATTTGCACTAATGAGATTCTACAATGTTACAGCCTGCTGCATATATTTTACAACTGTTATTAAAATGAAGGGTCACTGTTGGGACTGTAAAATGGACAATGTGTACATTCTAACCCCCCCCTAAAATTTCCTCAACGGATTTAGACGTTTCACAAAATCGACCCTGGGACTGTGAAATCCGCGGATTTCCGCGGAAGATTCCCATCCCCGATGCATAAAGCCTGCTGATGGTGCTGGTGGTTGCGCATGGTCATATTCCATTCTACGCATATCAACTTCCGCATCAGACTTTTCGAATGATGCAAAACCCTAACCCTAACCCTAACACTAAGAATAAACCGACTCGGTTATCTTATATACGCGTGTTATAGTACCAAACACTATCTATGGTGGTAGATAGCCACTGACGTCACGCGGATACTCTGTTTCATGGAAACATATGCCCACCGGGAAGTAGTTGAAGTAAATGTTAATCAAACAGAGTAAGTGATTCGACCTGTGGTATCGACCAATCATGCACATCCCAGCTGCACTAACCTTTGCATCTTGCCTGATGCACCCTGTTATTTCATCTACTAAACGGTCTAAACCCAGTGCATCTCTCCTGATGCACCCTGTTATTTCATCTACTAAACCCAGTGCATCTCACCTGATGCGCTCTGCATATCAAGTCCAGGTCGTGCTTGTGCAGGAACTTCGCCACAACTTCGGCGCCGAACGTGAAAGACACGCCGCGATCGTTCTCTCCCCAGCCCATCACCTCCTTGTCGGGATCGGACCAGAGCAGGTCGCAGAGCAGGCCCTGGTCCGGCACGTCCGTCGGCCGCATGATCCGCCGAATCTGCTCCATCGACTGCAGGTCCGGACTCAAGCCTGCAAGCGAGCGAGCGAGCACGCACACACTTACTTACTTATCCTCTTGGTCCCCCGATGGGACATAAGGCCACCGAATAAACGCTTCCGTATACAGCCACAGCTACGTCGTCATCGATACACAGACGCAGCTACGTCGTCATCGATACACAGACGCATCTACGTCGTCATCGATACACAGCCGCAGCTACGTCGTCATCGATACACAGACGCAGCTACGTCGTCATCGATATACAGACGCAGCTACGTCGTCATCGATACACAGCCGCAGCTACGTCGTCATCGATACACAGCCGTAGCTACGTCGTCACCGATACACAGACGCAGCTACGTCGTCATCGATACACAGCCGCAGCTACGTCGTCATCGATACACAGACGCAGCTACGTCGTCATCGATACACAGACGCAGCTACGTCGTCATCGATACACAGCCGCAGCTACGTCGTCATCGATACACAGCCGCACTCTCTTTACGGGGATGCGCATAGCAACGTGAAAAAACACGCGATATGAAAGGCTTCCTTCTACGTCACAGTTCCTGTTGACGCACGTGCATAGGAGAAACCACAGAAATGGTGCTGAACCTTGCTTATTAAATTAGAATATGGGATTTCATAGCGGGGCTACCGCTGGCGTTCGCTACCTTCACAAAATGCGATAAATAAATAACAGTGGCGATTTTCCTACACTAAGCAGTCTGCGAAATTAACCACTGGCCCGGTATCTGAGGCCAGTAAATTTTCCGTGGGGCCAATGAAACTGGTAAATGAACAAGCCCGATGGGCCAGTGGAAAAAAATGGAGTAAATGGTCTATTAATGATATTTCAGCTTCTTTATGTGATGATCAGTCTGAGAATTTACCGAAATTCCCGACATTTTGTATGAAAATTTACCGATATTTACCGATAGGGCATCATATTCCCGATCTTAAGTAGGGGAAGTAACTATACAACACCATGCGTGTTTGTCGCCGCTAGAGGTCGCAACAACTTCCGGTTCGGTTTCTCTTTTCATAATATGATGATCATTGATTCGGGCCTGTAAAACCTAGTGTGGGCCAGTGAATTATACATTTCTACAAGCACGCTGGGCAAATAAGGGTGGAAGTTTTTCGTGCAGACTGACTAAGTGATGAATACAATTGGCGAATGATTTAACTGCTCACAAAATTACGATTGAAGATAAATGCATAGGGTTTACTATTGTGTAGCAAACCCACATAGCTTAACTACCATGCTGGCTCTTGCCAACCTAATTAGAATATAGGATTTCACAAAGTGTTACCATTGTGTCAACCCACACGACTAACTACAACACGGGCTCCTGCTAAGTAAATTACAATAGATAAACTCCTCGGGCGCTACAACCGCGTAGACAGCATACCTCCGTGACAGCAGAATATTTTCTCATCAATGATAGCTGCCACAGGTAAGCAGTTGAAACAGTCGGTGAACGTCTTCCAGAGCTTGATGTTGTAGCGTCTCTTGCCTGTCAGCAAACACGATAACAACGTCTTAGTAAATAACGTAGTATACGTTGGTAATAACGTATAGCGTAAACGCAACGTATAAAGCAGGGCTCCACACTAACTTTTTTTTCTAGTGGCCCGTTCGGGCCAGTAAAATCATGAATTTTCCATTTTTGGTGGCCCGAAAAGCCCCCCCCAAGTTACTGCCCCCCCCCCAAAAAAAACCAAAGGAAAACATTAAAAATCCATCTTGTTGTAATAAATCCTATATTTTAATGAATTATATGAAGACTGGATAGACCTCTTTATTAATAGATGCACTTACATAAGTCTCAACACAATCTCACATTGAGGCATACATTTATCCACAATCCACAACATCAAATATTCCCCAGACTAGAGTCTTGTATAATACCATTATTCAATCTTCGCTCATTTCTTAGACTTTTTTTGGCAATACATCAAAGTACAAGTACAAGTACTGTATATTTTCAAGTTACAATAAAGTCCATGTTTTCTACACACAATTTTAAAGACACCCGTACAATTTGTACAATTTGTAACACCCGTACAAGACAAGATCATGAGATTATTTTCACGCACACACAATACACGCTAGTCACAAGTTACAACACAGGCTAACCATACGAACACGCCTGGCGGTGTGTATGTTTGTGTGTCTGTCCGCTCAATATCTTTGCAACCGTAAGAGGAAGAAACTTCAAACTTGGTCCACAGTAGCTCTAGTACTATAGCCCGCTTACATTAACTGCCGCTGCCGCACGCCACGCAGAAGACTCGAATGATATTTTTACGCGTAAAGTTCTCTCGCATACCGGCATACGAGACCCAAACTACCATATATAGTACGCATACATCGCATCACACCATATTGCAGAGGTCACGGGCATTGTATTGTAACTATTGTTTGCTTATTGTTCTAGCGGCTCATGCACACATACACGTAGTCACGTGCACACACGCTGTAGCTACACAAATACATGCACACATACCGTACGCACGCACGCACAAGATTTTCACGTAAGAAAATTATACTTTTTCTCACATAGTCACTTAGAAAGTTTAGTGGATCGGGCCACCAAAATTTAGCATTTCTGGAATTCTGCTGGCCCGACATTCAGTTTTACTGGCCCTGGGCCATCGGGCCAGCGCTAGTGTCGAGCCCTGGTATGACCAGCGTAATATAATGCTCATAGAGTCTATGTCCCCCAGGTAACTGCCGGAACGTACCCTGGTAACTATTTGATATGGTTAGGGTTAGGGTTAGGGAGTAGGCGACTCCCTAGACTCGTTAGTGGAGTAGGCGAGGTACGGTCCGACATATTAGATAGTACCAGGGTACGTTCCGGTATACCGGAACCTACCCAGGGTACGTTCCGGCAGTACCCTGGGGGACATAGACCCTCTCAGCGTTAGGCATAGTAGTATATAAGCCTCGGTGGCATGTATGGTGTTGTAATACCACTGCTCTAATTAATGCCATCTCGCACACAAACTCAACACATTTAATCATACGTACAACCGTACGTGCTATTTTTTGCATTTCGCCTGAAGAATATATATAAGAGATGCATAGAGGCATACAAAGGAAGTGATTAGTTTACCCCCCTCCTGAGTGAAAGAGATGATTAAATTCCTATGTAACCAGGTTTAAGCTCACTAGAAGTGACGCCATGAATTTGCAACTGTAATAAATTGATATCAATCGTCAATTACGCCACGATGTGCAACAGATATTGGACAAAGGCTAAGTATCACAGAGGTGAACGTCTTTTACCAGTTTTTCATGTTATCTGTACCTAAAAATAATGTTTGCTACAAACAATGATAAATGACAGAGATTTAACCCAACCATACTACCATTAAAGACATGCCTGGATTAATCTGACCAGGTTTTCAACATGATTTTTGTGATCAGTTAATCAAGGGCTGGCACAGTCATCTGAATTCACTAAATTATGGTTTGGGATTTGTATAGTTACACAGATTTCTACTGACACTGGATTTGACTGCAATTCACAGCAATTTCATCCCATGCAGGAGTGCAGGGGGGCGAGGAGCTACAGCAGTGTTCGTGAAAACATGCGTCTTCCTTTAAGCCATGTAGCGGTGCAATAAGTTTATTTACGATGGCTTTATGCCTAAAATAGAAATGTACTTGGCTGCGTTTATTTTGATATCTGTTACACACGAAGCACTGTAATACTTGACAGTTACTCCTATATTGCTGATGTGAAAGAGCTCGTTTATTGCAGCTTAACAGAAGCTAAGGGGACACTAACAAAATATAGTGGGGAGAGAGAGAGAACGAGAGAACGAGAGAACGAGTACGTATTCTTATTGTTAGTATGGACTATGTAGGGAAAGCAAAAGACGTGTTCCACAGACAGCAGGAAAAATATTGTCCGCTGACTACACAGGCAAAGCAGAAGATATGTTGTGTGTGCGGTCTATATACAGCCTACAGATGTCCTGGACTGTGTGTGAATACGCCCAGAGAGCGCTCTCAGACTCCTTACTTATACAGCCTGCAGAGAAGTCGAAATCACGTGCACAGTGAATGCGGGGCCGTGCTCAGCTGCCCATAACATCTAAGCTGCGGCAACATGCAGAGCGAATCAATATAAACAGGCAGCAGCAGCAGCAGCACACGCGCAGCGGCGGCGGCAGCGTTGCCTGCCTGCGACAGTCGTACGCAAATGTATTCCATTTTCTCTCACCCTCTTTCCCGCAAACCCGATACTGGGGAGAAAACTAGACAGATAAGACAAATCTTAGCTGACTAGACTGCCTTTCACTATCATACGAAGCAAATGCATTTAGTTATGTGCTCAAAATTTAAAAGTCACGCAACAAGTGCATACTATTTCGGACCTCACTGGCACGATTCCAGAATTTTAGCGAGAGAAATTGATTTTGACATCCCAGTACAGTACGTACTATTGCGCCCGAATGTTTTATACGAATCTTGCTAACTAGGCAGTAAGAACTAACCAGAACAACGCTGAATTGGCAACCGTTATCGGCACAAATGCTGCAACTGCGTCAGCAGCACTAACCGTGTTTAACTAAAGTTCTGTGTTTCCGTGTTCCCTCTCTCCTTCTCTCTCTCTCACTTTGTAACCGACCTAAACCAGGGTCACACTGAAGGATTTCTCACCACTTCAGCTGCATTTTACTTGCAGAACTACTCCCGGCACTAATGGCCCTGTCACACATTGACGATTTAGACAGCGTATGCCGGACGTATCAAAATTTCTCTAAAACGCTGGCATACGCTGAACTATCGATGTTTTTTTTCAATTTTGGGCGTATACATAGCGTATTCATAACGAGTTGGACGTATACTTAACGTATTAGTAACGTATATAGAACGTTTCGATAACTTATAAGATAACTTATACCAACGAATGCTTAGCGTGTTGCCGGCGTTCACAACTTATGCCCAACGATAGTCTAACTTATGCATAGCGCGCGGCAGCGTATCGCCGACGATCACATGTCGTCGCCTATAAAAAGGCTGCCGCTCGACGATTCAAATCATAACCGCACTAGACATCACAGTATCAACATCACCGTCGCAGTATCACCATGCCAATACCATTTTTATATACCAATTCCCCTAAACGCTGCCAATACGCCATTATACGGTAGCTGTAAGTTAGAAACACGTTCAGTAAGTTCTGTGGTCGTCCGGAACACGTCAAATAAGTCTACATACGTCAATATGCGTTACACATAGGTTCAAAGCATGTTACTCATCAGTTAGAAATAAGTTTTGGGCTACGCTGACATTATTCGGACGTATTTCGAATATGAGTAACTTACAGTTAACGTGCTTGTGAACGTGTAGTGTGGCACGGATCGCATACTTACCTAAACTTATGGCCCGCGTATGCGGCGCGTATGGGCATTCGCTGGCATACGTCAGGAAAATTTTGAGCATGCTCAATTTTAGGCAACCTGCCGTACTAACGACGTATACCGGTGCTCAGCGTGCTCTTAACTTATACAAAGCTTACCCATAACTTATTCGACGTACGCCAGCGTATTCACCAAATTTTTGATACGTCCGGCATACGCTGGCTAAATCGTCAATGTGTGACAGGGCCATAAAGTGTGCTGTAGCCTATAACTGATCTGCCTAACACGCGAACCACCTACTGGTCGCACGTAGGTCGTACGTTGCGATGAAGGCACAAACACGCGCAGACACATGCACGCACAAAAGCAGGTTTATCCTACTAGCAAGCTTCGACCCGCTACTGTTGTGGAATGAATCAGCATGTGACAAAGTCGTGCAACAACGTTACGTTTCTTTGGAATTAAGACACTCAAACCTAATCGGCTACAGACGACGCAAGAGGAAAGGAGGAAATGGAAAGGACACGGCAATCTAACCAAAGTACCAGAGAGCAGATTGTTAATATACACATGTATACATTTGCAAATCAGCTAAACCTTTTGAGGAAAAGGTTCACTGTATAGCCTGCTTGCTGACGACATGCCAAAATTGTTCCTATCATGCATCCACCAGCGGCGAGTTAAATATACTCAGAGAAACGACACATATTTCCTATGGTGCGCTCAATCAGACCTACCAAAAATACTATGAGCACTACCGCACCAGCAATTCCTAAGCTAGTGAGCTCATCCCACATGCTTCACCGACCACATATTGCCCTATATTTAGTAGCTGCATCATCTCCTTCACACAGCCCACACCATCAATATACATGTGAGTGTGAGAGGGGGGCACAGTGCTACAGCTATACGCAAATGTCATAATAATTTCGGTTTTGCACACTATCTTTAGTTATTAGGTCACGGAAGAGGGAACACTTCAAGCGTGAAAACACCACTGGCGAGGCGCACACAATAGGATTTTGACTGAGTGACTATGCAAACTGAGCATTGTTAATGTGTCAATAATAGTGTTTTACTTAACCCTGGATGCCCTGGATCATGCGCTGCCCGCAACAGGGTCACACGTTTCAAG